TATTTGAACTTATCTATTATATTTTATGATAATATAATGCTAGTTAGACGATGAATTAACAATATTATAAAAATTCGCGCTATTCGAATTGAGTAAATGAAGACCCCGGATTTTAAATTTTTTCGTTTATCAGCTTATTGAGGTCAGTTTTTCATACAACTTTCGCCACCGTTTATCGGGGCACCAGTTAATCGAGGATATCTGATAATCGGGGCATTTGTTCATACAAATTCGAGTGTGTGCCAAAAAATATCCGCTTATCAAGGATATCTGATTATCGAAGTAGCTGTTAATCAAAGTTTAACTGTACTCTGTGTAATGAATTTTTATGTATGTAAATGCAATGTGTTCCATTTCTTCTCTAAAGAATAGAGAATCGTGGTCTAAAAATATATTAAGTTAATAATGGAAAATAAATACAATTTAGTGAGCTTTAAATTTAAAAAAATTAAATGAATGGATTTTGAAGAAAATTCCAAAAATTTCAATATGAAAAAACGTGAAATGAAGCAAAATAAATATTTGAGAAGAATACAGACACATAGTTATGCCTTTTATAATACCAGTTATCTTATTTTTATACTTTTTCGTGTACTTAAAAAATTGGAATATCTACTTCTACACTTTATAAACAAATCTATCCTTTATCACCTTCGTTTATAACTGTGAATGTGTTTGTGAGAAGATAAAAACGGAGAATAAGAGAGTGAAACCTTGAGTGAAACCCATCGCTGTTCATTTTCATCAGACTTTTCCAGTAAAGAGCTTTCCAATGTGCTTTTCCTTTCTTCTACTTTTTGAGATGTTTATGTTAAATAAATGTCTGTTCACCAGAATGTTTTAGTCAAATTATTCAAGGAACACAGTTAATGAATTAAGTTTTCTCTGTATGATGAAGTAACAAAAGAAACAAATTTTTTTTTGAAAATCAAGGAATAGAGTGAAGAAGTTACAATAGGTACCATATAGGCTTTTCTCTCTAAATAGTTATTTACACCAGGGATTATTCATAGGCGTTTATCTTTAATGGTTTTCGAAATAAGAAGATATTCTATATTGATAACAATTTAGAAAAAGTGTTGTTTTCTGATGCTTTTTTTTCGGTAAAATATCAATTATTCAATTACATATTAATGCTTCAATTGAATTTCATCAATTCTAATATTTCAAACTGGAAATTTATACATCATAACAATAAGTGGCTTCTTACGATCGTATACGAATGTCCAATATTTCAAATCTTCTCAAAATTGCCTTCTAATTTACATTCTTTTCTATCGTCGATTAATGTAATCATGCTAAATTTGTCATCATCTGAAGTATTTGAAAATATTTCATTCCACGTTTGTAAAGATTCCGAAAAACTTTCACGGTTTGTATTTAATGAAGCGAAAGAGGAAGATGGATGAGAATTAATTTTATGTCGCGAATGTTTTGAGCTGTGTATTGATAGAGAACATTTTAAGGTTTCAATGTTTTGAAATAAGTTTGCCTTTATGCTATCTAACTCTCGTTCAATTCTATGAGTATTTGATGGAGGCGAGTTCATTACTAGCTGTTTGAATGTTTTTTTTTTAAATCAAGAACATACGAAACGAATCAAAATTTTTATAATTTCAAATCACATAACATACTTACTGACTCAAACTGCATAAGTAGACATTGTCTCGAAGTTTTCATGCATTTTCTTTTGACATCCATAAGTTTCTTGTTGGTTTGTGCCAGTTCTACTTGCACATCTTCAATGATACTTTGTTTTTCAATGTTTCTTTATGGAGAAATTTAAGGAGGAAAAACTGTGAATTAGTAATTAATTTCAATTATTTATATATTCCACTTACTTTTCGAGATTTTTTATATCCTTTTGAATTTCTTGCAATGTAAGTCCAACATGATCAGTCATCACTTTCTGCATAGCATTCGTTTCTTCAGAGATAATCTGTAGCATTGATTATCTATTTAAAAAACTTTTAATTAATTTTCAATTTTATTTACCCGCATTGAAGCGATTTCAGAATTCAATTTCTCAATGACTTCATTTTTCTTAAATAATCCAGTTTCAAGCATATCTTCAATCTGTCTGTATGTATGCATATGTAAAAAAATTATAGTGAATAAAATTAAAATAGAAAAGAAATTACTTCAACTTAACGTTCAAATTTAATTTATTGCTCAATAATGTATCTTGAAAACTTTGAAGATTTTCCAACTGAAATCCATAAATATCCGTTTGTATTTCCTCTGAAATGAGATGTTTCTCATTCATTGTTTGTCTATTTTCGAATTCAGTTTGGGTTGTTCCATTTTTTAAACTACAGAGAATTGACTTTTCAAGCCCAAAAGAATAATAAAT